CTGCACGGGTGCCCGCTTCCCTTCTCTCCACCCACCAGACATTCCAAGGTCCAGCCCAGAGGCCTCATCTGACCACCGTCTACACCTCAGACCTATTTCCAACCACCCTCTGCCCATGTCTGAGGCACACAGCAGAGTTCCTGAGTTCTCTGTCATTTTTTGGATGGTTGGGTTTTAACTGCCTCCTGGAAAAGACCATGGACCAGACGGTTTCTACGCACTGCAACTCAGTGCGTTGCAGAGTCCACATTATGCACGCAGGATGTGGGTAGCTCAGAGAGCCAGGAGCGCGGAATGTTTGTTGAATGACTCATCGCTATCCTGTGACTTTTCCTTGCGGCTTCTCCCTTATGCAGACTCGGATTTGTTCTATGGAACTGACGGAGGGATGCTTGCCCTCACTTACTAGAGTCACCCAGGGTCACGCCCACGGAGCCCGTGGGCAGCTCGGGAGCTCGTGCAGGAGGAGCATCCACGCAGCCGGAGTATCACATGGGGCCACGTGGGGTGGGATAACCAGTGCGCCCCAGGCTTTCCAGGGGAAGCAGTGTGGACAGCTGATAGCACGCTTGGCCTCACAGAGACAAACCAAGGCAGAGGCGAGGGGTTGACAGCGTGCCCCTGCTTCCAGCTCTGCAGTAAATTAAACTTCAAACTGGCTCTGGCAGCAGCAGGGATGGTGCCTCCGGGTGTTTGGCTGATAAGGGGGTGGCCACTCCGTTAAGCTCCCACACGGCAGCCGCAGGAGACGTGCTGATCTATGGAAGAGCCGGGGGCAAGGCCTGTGGGACCCTCCGTACACAAGAAAGGGTGAGGTGGAGGTGAAGACGAGATGCAGGAGCGGGGAGGGAAGGGGCTAGGCGGGAAGGACATGGCCTCATGGGTCTTGTTCTTGGAGCTTGTTTCAGATCCACAGGCTGTGCAAGGAGGGAGCCAGGGAGTCAAACATCAAGAAGCCTGAGGTGATGGTGAAGGGGCAGGGAGGAGAAGGGAATGGGACTTGGGTTTGAGGAAGCCCTATGGGTGACCCTACTTCAAATAAATCCACTATGAGACGCCTGGATGGATCGGTGGTTGAGCATCTGCCTTCGGCTCAGGGCGTGATCTCAGGGTCCTAGGATCGAGTCCTACATGGGCTCCCTGCGTGGGGCCTGCTTCTCCCTCTGCCTGTGTCTCTGCCTCTCTCTCTCTCTGTGTCTCATGAATAAATACATAAAATCTTTAAAAATAAATAAATAAACCCACTATATGAAAATCTAAGTGAACCAAATACAACAGGAGGTGATTTCGTGCTTGTAACTTTCCAGTGTCCGGGGTTGTTATGAATTATGCCCCGTCTGGTACTTCCCACCTCCCAGCCTCATTCTGAATCATCAAATGAGGAGGTGGATCTCTGGACGCCAGCATCTTCAGTTTCTTTACACTTCGCAATCTTTGATTCTTGAAATAGTCATTGTTCCCCTTGACTGATACTCCCACCCTGAACATGATTCATGAAAGTGCAATTCGTACAGAGCTTCTGGAATCTCACCTATTGCTGCAAGTAGGTACTACAGTACATTGCTGGGTTGTTACCACCCCAACTTAGAGCAGGGCCTCTGCTCCCCACAACCAAGAACGTCTCTGCTAGGGTCTCTTTCATCCTCTTGGAGCAGAGTTCCTGGCCATGAGGGACAGGGGTGGGGTGGCAGGTATTCAGGGGCCCAGACTGCCTCAGATAGTTTTAAGCTAATAATACAAATTAGCTCTGGACCCCTAGCCTGGGGAAAACAGAACCCATGGCACTGAGCAGCAGCTGGCTTTGGGTGGCCCACCGTAACTTCCAAAGGCTCAATGCTGTCAGATGCATCAAGCCCAGAAAACTGGAAGAGGGAGGGAATGTCCAGTTACGCTGGATGCCCCACGAGGCGTGCTAACGTTAAGACAGGCCCCTTGGGAGGAGCTGGAAGATAGATGGTACTGCCACGTACAGAGGCCTCCTGTTCACGATGGTAAGAGGGTTGAAGGAAGCCTGCTCGGAGGAGGGGGTGAGAAGATATGCCAACAGCGAAGCCCACAGTGGCCACTCACTGAATGTCAGTTATGTGCCTGGAGCTAAGCGCTGACGGCCACTGTCCCATGCTGTGCTCTCAAGGACTCTAGGAGGTGACATCACCACCACTTTTATTTTACAAACATGGAAACTGCGGTACAATAGGGCCAGACATCCTGTCCAGTCATATAGCTAGTAAACAGTACAGCCAGGGTTTAAACCTGGCCAACCTGATTCTAAAATCCACGTTCTTGCTCTTTATAACAAAGACACCTCATAGTAGGCATCGCAGAACTATCATCCCTCCTTGATCCAGGGACCCTGTCTCCCTCCTATGTCTTTCCCTCAACACTGCCACTGAAGTTCAGTCCCTGCCTGGCTTCAGCCAACAGCACTTACCCACCACCCGTTCTCTCCCATACTTTGGGAAGGAAATAGCTGGGCTGGAACCTTCCTATGAACTATCTGGGTGGTGTTTCAGATCCATTGTGGGGGCGCAGCTCTGGCTTCAGGATGAAAGGCCTTTGGGGTAGAAAGATCCAGAAGCCCGGTTTCTAACAAATGCTAATCATGCCTCAAACACATTGAGATGTAAAAGCTGAACCAAGGGTTACTAGCTAATAAAATACTTGGCGCCTAAAAGAAGGGCATGAAAAAGATGCCCCAAAGCTCTGTAATGTGGAATAAAAAATATCAGTTTCCTTTATTCCCCTGATTCATCTGGCTTAATATTTTAGCGGTATGGACTTTAAGAAGCCAGGCTGCAGGGGTCACCGGGAGAGGACATTTACATGTGCTAACGACCCCCATCCACGATGCACGATGCACGATCTCCACTCTCTGTCCTGCAGAGAAACCCTCACAAACCAGAGAAAGGAAGGAGGAGCTGGCTTTTGGACGTATGCTCTACAGCGCTATCTAGGAATCTGGATCTTTGTCAGAGACCTGTCCTCCTGGACAAAGAACCACTACAGACTGGACTAGGAGACTCACAAGGAGTTGTGGCCGGGATTTCTGATTTCATTCAGAAGATGCAGGGAAATTGGAATCTTACTTTCATTGAACTAGAACTTCATCCCTTTGCCAGCTGGGACTTCTAGTTGGTCCCTTGCTGAATCCCCATGGCCTAGAACCCAGGAGAACTGGCACTTACCACATATATATCGCCTGACCGACTGAATAAGTGAGTGACTGTTTCAGGCACCTGGTCTTCCTCCATTCCCCCCTGGGGAGGAATCTATGTCCATAGATCCCGCTGGTCTTCCCAGTCCTCTTTTGTAGGGCATGAACCCACTCTTGGTCCCTAAACGTGGACGCTCTCTCCAAGGGTAGTCATCAGGCCATCTGGCCAACACTTGTGACTGGTGAGATCGGCTCTGAATTTCCAAGAAGATAAGCCGGACCCATCAGATCCTCTACCTTGGAAATTCAGACCAAGAGATTCTGAGGGAAGTTGCTACTGATGTACACGCTGAAGAGAGACCACAAGCCACCTGATGGCAGGGACAGTGTCTACCTTGTTTTCTGCATTGTTCTCAATGGATGATATCCCGAGTCACACCTGAAATAGACTAAATGCTCAATAAAAGTTGCGTGAATAAATAGACAGTAAATTGGACCTGTGTGGCCATATGGGACAGGCATGACAAATGAGCCAGGGAACTTGGCCAGCCAGAGAGGGAAGACCACAAGAGCCTCAAAGGAAACTGAGACAGAGCCACTGCCCTCCTTCCTTCCTGCTCTCTCTGGGTGCCACAGGACACCCTGCCTGTTGCACCTGGGCCAGAGTGATGTGTCTCTTCTCTTGCAGTACTAATGGCCCAGATCAGAGCACTGCTGCATCCACTCCCAGAAGACCAGCTGTCTCCCATATATGCCTCAGCAAGTTCTTTTGTTTTTGTGTTTTTGCCATTGAGTATAACCAAAGGTTGAAACAGGCCACAAAGGGAGGAGATGGAGCAGAGTCTTAGGTAAGAGATGTCATCACTTCTCTGGGCTAAGGGGCTCCTCTTCTTCCCTCTGCACAGGGTTGTTCACTGCCAGCTTGGCTCTGAGCCACTGGCCCATGACCGGGAAAAGCTCACCCTATAAAGTTGTCCAGGTAACCCCAGCGGGACACCAGAGAATTCCAGGGAGGTCTTGGTGGACTGGGTATGGCTTTGAGAGTGAGCACACGAGGGCAGGGTTCAGGACCTGCTCAGCCCGTGACTGGCTCTGGAGATGGGCAATTTGGTCATCGCCATTGAGCCTCAGCTTCTCTTGTAAAGTGGGGACCAACACAATTAACTCTCAAGCTGGGAAAATTAAAAGCAGTGCCTGACACAGGGCAGGGGCTCCACACATGTGACTCGAGTGCCCCAGTGTGTATGTGTGTAAAGCACTGCAACTCACAGAGGATTCTGCTATGTTTTTAAGTCCTACAAATCTCTTGACAACCTACAAAATTTGCAAAGTAGAGCCTAGCATTCCCATTCTACAGATGAAGAAATTGAGGTTAAATGGGATAAGTGATTTGCCCAAGGTCACCCACAGAGTGGTCAAACTCCATCCCAAGTCCCACAACGCTGCACCTGGCACAAAAAAAGCAAGACAGGTAATCAGGTGTGCACTGACTAAGTGACCCCTGGGCTGGCCCTCTCTCTCTTCTCTTAATCACACATAAGGTTTCATTCATATTGTGTACAGTATGTCCAGGAGATGAAGAAGTCCATAGATGAAGGAATGAAGGAATGAATGAGTGGGTGAATGAATGAACGACTGAGTATCCTGTCTCAATTCTCCTCCATACATAGTTGGCAACAAAACCTAGGGATCTCCTCCAGACTGAGCCCTACAGAGCCTCCTACTGCATGTTTCTCTCCCTCTCTTGGGAATATCTAATCATAGGCCTGGAGAGGGGTACGGCTCATGTTATCAGCCCCTCCTGCCAGCAAGGAAAGCAGAGGGCAGCCCTGCCCATTCTACGTACTGGTTTCTGCAGTCTCGTACTCGCTGTCTCTGAGAAGCTCAAAGATGTCCACTTCGACCTTGGCCTTGCCCAGCCTCTCAGGAGCGCGGTTGATGCGGTTCTTGGCCAGGGTGATGGAGAGCCGCTCCCCTCTGCTGCACTCCATGGGGTCATCCAAGATAGCAGCTGTGGGCAGGCAACCACACAGAGACAGTTGGTACCCTCTCCCGTTCCCCTCCTTTCTCCACTCTCCCCCAGACTGCCACCTTCCTTTTCCGGGCAGCTCCCCTCCACCTCCTCCACCCCCTCCACCCTGCCATCCTGGGAACTATTCCCAAAGCAAGTTCTCTCCATGCTACGGGTCTTGGTTTGTGGGCAGGTGCAACCATGATTTCTCATGTGCATATCTGGCCCAGGAACCCCCTGATGTCATGGCAAGGCCATCGGGGGTCTATGCATATGAGGTCCCGAGGCCTAGGCATGGTGATATGCTTGGGGGTACACAGGCACACATGTGCCAAGGAAGGAACACAGTAGCTGTCCTTTGAAAATGGTAGTCTGGGCATTTGCAGAACTCTCCCTGAGACAAAAGAGGGTTAAGGGAGACCAGGCATGAGAGAGAAAGCCGTGGAAGATACTGCTGAATGCCAGCTCTCCATGCTCTGACACTGATAAACCATGTCAGCCGGTGAGCCAGGCAATTTCTTTGAACTTCTTTTCCTCACTGAACATTAAGAACAGTGAGACAACCTCAGGGGCTTGGGGTGAGGATTCAGTAAGATAATGTATGTAAGTGACACATCACACAAATTTAATTAGTGTGACTTAATATGAATGGCTGGAGCAGTATAGTGTACCAAATGCCTCCAGAAGCAGCATTAAGGGCAAGCGTTCTGGTAGCATAGAGACCTGCATTCAAATCCCAGCTCCACCCTGCACTGGCTAGAAGATCTCAGTTTCCTCACTTGTAAAATGGGGAAAGAGCCCCCACTCCTTGGAGCATTGTGAAGATTATCTGAATAGTCTGTGTGAGGTGCTGATTAGCACAGTACCTGACACACAATAAACACTCAACAAATCTAGCTCTGGATATCATTCATGCTCCTCGTAGAGAAAGTTACAAGATTGAAAATCTCTACAAAAACTTGCACATACATGATCATAGCAGCATCATTCAAAATAACTCAAAAGTGAAAAAAGTCCAAATGCACATCAACTGATGAATGAACGAGCAAAATGTGGTATATCTATAAATGGAATAGTATTCAACAATAAAAAAGAATGAAGTACTCATAAGGCCACAACACGGATGAACCCTGAAAACATGGTGCTAAGTGAAATAAGCCAGATGCAAACTACTGCACATGGGATGATTCCATTTATATGAAATTTCCAGGACAGGTAAATCCACAGACACAGAAAGTAAATCAGTGGTTACCTAGTGGCAGTGGTGGAAAAGCTACAATGAATGGAGGGTGACTGCTAATGCATACATGGTGTTTCTTTTGGGGGTGCTGAAAATGTTCTAAAATTGATGATGGTGATAGATGCACAAGTCTGTGAATAAACTAAAAAACCATTGACTTGTATACTTTAAATGCATGAATCATATGGTGTACGAATTATATTATAATAAAGCTCTTACAGGGGGAAAAAAAGAAGAAATATCAACCTTATCTTTCAGAGGTTGAAGGCTCAGAAAAGCAACATGGGGAATCAAGCAAAATAGGTTTCACCGACACGTGGCCCTTGAATTTCTGCGGCTGGCATGGACAGAAGAAACCCAGGTCCCATGCTGTCTTTTCTGTACACTGCTCCTATACCTACTGTGACCCATTTTCCAAACCAAAAACCAGGACACAGAATATTACAAAGCCTTTTTTTCTGATGTGTGGATGTGTTTATATGCATAGCCTGTTGAACAATAAAAATTAGATTTCATTGACACTGGGTGGGCCATACATTGGGCAACTGAAGCGCATCCCAAGAGCTAGCCATTAAAGCAGGTTTCTGTAAATTAGGTAGCAAAGTCCTCACACGCCTGTTGTGATCCCACTTGCAAGAGCGGCCAACGCGCTATAAACATGTAATTGAAGAGCCTGAGGACACCCGAAACACCTACCCCGGTGACCTCAGGAAAGCAAGACCAGAATGGGAATGTTACTCAGGAAGCAGAAACCTAAACAATTATACTGTGCTGTCCCAGGAGGAAGACTCTGGGAAGAGAAAGGAAGAAGGGCAGCAGAGAGGAAGGCTGCATGGAGGTCCCTAGGCCCGTGCCAGCTTCAACCAGCATACCTCTACACCCATCAGTTTTGGGTACTGGGATTCCACATAAGACTTGATATGGAAAAAAATATATCATGGTTAAAAATATAATAGAAATCATTAGTCTAGCCCTAAAGCATAGAAAAGAGACATTGGCATGGCCATCACACACAAATCATGGGAAAGAGGAATGGGATCCCTGGTACGTAAGCTTTGTGTGAATAGACACACACTTACTCAGTGACCACAGTAGTGTAAATGCTTAGTGGACACAGTCTCACTTAAGCTCTGCAACAACTAGTGTGTTCTTGGGTTATCCTCACTTGGAGATGGGAAAATGGTCACAGAGGTCAAGGGACCTGCTCACATTCGTTAACAGGGTTGGTAAGTGGGAGAGGTGGGAGGTGACCCCAGGTCAACCTCACACAGACCATGTACCTGGAACCAAGGCTCATCTTCCTTCCAATGAACCTTGTCTTTGTTGGATTTGCTGCTAAGAAAGGGGTGTACTAGGTAGGTGTGTCTTAGCTCAGGCTGCTGCCACAAAATACCATAGCCTGGGGGGCTTATACAGCAAACACTCACTTCTCACCATTCTGGAGGTGGGGCACTGAAAGCAGGGTGCTAGCATTGTTGGGTTCTACAAGGGGCCTGCTTTCCTGGTTTGCAGACACCTGCCTACTCACACGGTCCTCATATGGTGGAGAGAAAAGGACAACATTCTCTGGACTCTTCTTATAAGAGCACTAATCCTGTCATGGAGGTCCCACCACCCTCATGACTTGCCCAAGGTCCCACCTCCTAATGCCATCATACTGGGGGGGAGGTAGGATTTCAACATGCACATTTTGGGAGGGCACAATGCAATCCAGAGCTGTAGGTCACATGAGCTTTCCAGTCCCCAAAGAGAAAGAAAGTCTCACCAAGGCAAATCGACTATGAAATACTAACAGGCAGGACCCTGGTCCTCTGGAAATTCCCCTAGTTAATGCTCCCAACTCCTACAAGATTTCTAGATGGGGGGCATCTTTCTCTTCGGGCCATATGACCTTTAAATATTAGAAAATCACCTTTTTTTTTTAAGAAAATCACTTGTAATAAAATAATTAATAAATTAATCTCTTAGAAAATGCCCACATCCCTTGTAAATCTAGGAAGGAACTCAAGCTCCTGAGTTGACAGGGCTGTTCATGGTATAGACACCAGACTTAGCTCTGTCCCATCAGTATACAAAGGGCACGATCACATCTATACCAGGAGGCAACACACACCCAACAGTCTGTTCTAGGGCTGTGTGTTTTCTTCTTCTTGAACAGTACACGTTCACAATGTGAGCTACTGACTGAATATGTCCCCTTCCTCCCAATTCACATGTTGTAACTTTAACCCCCAATATGACTCCATTTAGAGATAGGACCTTTAAGATGAAATTAAAGTGACATGAAGTCATAAGAGTGAGGCCTCGATCTGATAGCATGAGGGTCCTTATGAGAGATGCCAGAGAGAGCTCTCTATTTCTCTCCCACCATGTGAGGACACAGCAAGGGGGCAATCCAGGAAGCAGGCTCTCACCAGAAACTGACCCTGCTGGCACCTTGATCATGGACTTCCAGCCTTCCAGAATTGGGAGAAATAAATGTCTGTTGCTCATGCCACCCAGTCTGTGATATTTTGTCATGGCAGCCCAAGCCGACAAAGATAATGTGCCAATACAAACCCAGATGTACAGGACACCAGCCAGCCATGGAACACCACATAATCAACTCACAGAGCATCCTCGGACATACTCTGAGACAGAGGGATCATGACCAGGTGGGGAATAGGGGATGTGGGGATTTTATGTTAAGGGGCACATGAGGTTCCCTGAGTATCTCCTTCTTCTTCCCCTTCCCATAGGGCCCCAGGAAGGACTCTGCACTCCACCCAACTTCTCTGCCATTCTGGGTATTGCTTTTCATCAGGTTTTAGGTTTTAGACAATGATTAACTCCCGTCTGGGAACAGCCTCAACTGGGTAGTTAGTTGGCATCAAACATATTGGGATCAGAATAATTAGGATGACAACAGGGACTCTGATTCTGGGTCTCTGGACACAAAGGATGAGGTGCCAGCTCAGGCTCTCTTAGGACACCAGAAGAACATGTGCCCGACAGGCATTTTCCAAGAGCATGCTTGCTGTTTGGTGGTCCCCAGTGAGGGGCCCCATGCGTGGAGAGCAGGGTGCTCAGGGCTGGGTGTGCAGCTGATGCTCCTGGCCTCAGGCTCTGTCCCCCAGGCCTGGCTCTTGGGCTGGGCCAGGATGCTCAGAGCTCCCAGCCGCTGCCTAATGAGGAACAGTATCATCTAGCACACCCTCCATCCCCGGGGTCTACTCTGCAGAGATGTCAACTAGTAGGCACGGTAAGGCCAGGAGGTCCGGGGTACAGTAAGGCCAAGGCTCAGATGGAGACATGTAATCAGGGAGAGTCTTCTAGCTGTGGGGACTCTGCACAGTGACTCTTCCACCGCATGTACTCAACATGCCTCTCATGCCCAGGGAGTTGGTGACCCACATTGACACTAGGCCTTTCTCCCCACAAGCCAACAGCTTTACCTCTGCCCAGCTCTGAGTTCTAAGGCTCATGTCAAGGAAAGGGCAGCTTCTTGACCCTGGTCCCACCTCCACCCCGAGGTCTTCTCCATGTTCTGGGCCCAGGTCTATGTCTACTCGGGAGAGGATGCCTCCTTGGGCCTGGCAGGCCTGGCTCTGCCCACCTTAATCCTTTCTGGCTCACCCAGGGAGTATGGCCATGATTTTCACCCACCTGCTCAAAGTCCTCAGGCCTCCCCATTATCCAAGGGTTGGTCCCATCTGAGTCTCTAGGATGGCACCAGGCCCTCTGTGGTCTGGCTTTCACAAGCCTAAACTTTTAGCTGCAG